CGACCTTATCGCCTGAAGAAGACTAGCAGTAAGCAGTCGAAACGTCGCGATCTACATCTCAAGTGACTACATCGTGAGACAAACGATAATACACTTTTATTATTGCATCTACCACCATGAATAACAACAACCTTTTCCTCGATAAACAAGAAGTTCTGACAATACTCGATACTCGTGAAACGCATGAAGAACATCTCGGTTCTCTCGCTCGATCTCGACTTAGTTCCATGTGCTATGTCACGTGACCTTGTTTGTGTCCCATGATTCCACTACATTTTGTGGACGAGTAATGAGACAGTAAAGGATGTATAGTTTTCGTCGTGTAGTAATAGATTTGTACATTATTTCAGTTTGTGACCACGTGGATTTCGGTGCCGCGATTTAAACTTTAGGATCAGCTTTTTATGTCGATAAACAGCTTATGTTGTTGTTTACGTGCAGGTGATGTATTAAAAGAATGATCATGTCAGGGCACGATTTAGGAAAAATTAAATAAGCGCTTCCCCCTCCCCCTCCCACCCTTCGATTAAGCGCCCCCCTCGAATAAACGCCCCCGTCTTCTCCTAAATTTGAAATCAGCGCCCCGGGCGCTAATTCGAGGGTTTACGGTAAGTCTCTTCCTGCCAAGATTACTTTTTCTGATACTTCTGATTCACCTTGTGGTGCGTTCGTCCAATTGCAATCGGAGGTTGAACTGCTGTTTCACCAGAACTGGTCGATCACGGAGAGCGCGCAAAGTTCGACGAGGACGGAACTTTACGTGGTGTGCCTCGCCTTAGAAGCGTTTACAAGCCATCTATCGTGTTCTAAAGTCGTCTGGCACTCTGACAACCAAAATGTCGCTTCCATTCTACTTAACAGCAGCCGGGAGGTCGACCTTCAATTGCTCGCCCTCAATAGCGTTTCACATCTGACTACAGTTTCGTATATTTTCGGATCATAAGTGGATCCTTACGGACCTTTAAAACTCCATAACGGAACTAATCAGCAAGATTATCGATCTTAATTATTATGAATTAAACTATGTTATTTTTCAGGCTTAGATGAGCTTTGAGGCCCTCATAGTGTGGACAGGTTTTCCTGCAGTTACAACGCCAAACTAACCAGATTTAACCCTTGGTGTACCGAAGCAGCTGACGCGTTTTGCCAGGGCTCGCGATTTATTAGCAATTGGCTGTCATTTTTCTTTTGGAATTCCTGTTCTAAAGATGGAGTCCACTAGAACCATTTTTGTCATCGACTGGGTCCACCTTCCCTAGTTCCAGGGACTGTTCATCAAAGAGAAAGTGCGCAACTCCTTCTTTGTATCCAGATCGTTAAACTTCGATGTTGTAGCGCTTAAAATCGATTTCAGCCGTCCCAGGCTCCCCTCGTTCCACTCAAGGCTTGTATGCATGTCTTGGCTGTATGTTCTACTTACAATTATTTAGATATCGTGTTGTGCTCTTTTTTGTCTCCTCAGATGTTTTTAGTCGGGTTACCAAAATGACGGACGCTTCTTTGCGCTTTCGAAGTGTCTGCGAAGAGAATTGGGATAAACTTTTGAACGATTAGTAGATTTATATGAAATTATAATATTAACATGAAAAGATGTTCGTTCTTTTCGCTTGATCGCGTATTCCCCTTACGTTCAGTGTAACGAATTTGCATAATAAGTTATTCTGCATTGTAATGTAATTGTATAGTTTGGAAAAACAGACACACATAATTAATATTAATAAATCAAACGCTTGTTTCACTAAATAAACTAACGAAAAATTAAAGCGACTAAGCTTCTCCCTACGCCTTCTTAGTTCACCTTGAGAATTCGCTCATATATTACATAGTTCCAGTAAAAGTGGCAGCCTACCAGCAATCTATATTGACCTAAAGATTATTTAAATCATCCTCTCTATTAATTCGGATCGGCCTACCCTCAGGTGAAGTCTTGACAAAGAGTTTTCCGTCTATAGTCCACATCCTTTAAGCAATCCGTCTTCCTTCACGCTTGCGTGACCTGTGAAAACACCGACTCGGACTTGAAGGTACACGCGCTCCACTATGCAGATGAGCTACTCGTACGCGTCACACTTTCCTTTCAAAAACTTTGCAAACTCGCCAAACAAGCAGAAACAATAAGAAACTATCAAAAACACGTTTTGGTTATGATTAAGTATTGTTTGAAAAACTCACAAATTAACTCGATACTTCAGAGTGGAGAGTTTTCTTACATAAGCTTGATTCTAAGTCAGAACAAACGCAAAAGTTTACGCGTAAAACTAGCGTGAGCAGATCTCATTCATTCACAGCGCGAAATTGAAGTCTTGGTTTTGACCCTGAAAAACTTACCTTTTCCGTTAATTAGCTCGGAGCATAAAACTGCATATAAGCGTCCTGGTTCTTATTCCCTGACTTATTCTCTGCCATCACTGTGAAAAATCCGCGAGCTCTCGCCATTTGATCACACAATGACAACATCTACGCGAGAACCCACGACACGTGCGTGGATCCTCGCAGATATATGTCGTCAGTGTGGCGCAATTTGTCCTAAAAATAGCAAAATTGTCCCATGTCATAGTTGCGCGCAGTTTCCAATACCTATTACCGCCCTGTTTATTACGGTCTCCGAACCCGCTTATGGCTCCTGGCCCCGCCGAACCCCCACCCCGCCTCGCTTCATGATGTTCTCGTGCCAGAGCCCCGCCGATTTTAAAAGAGCGACAGACGGGCCTGGGGATGAATCGGACAAAGATGGCGGACGGAAGTACGGCCATCCACGACTTGAAAACGAAAAACCATTTACAGAGTCTCATAAGCCAGAACACCTCTCTTTACCTTTGCACAGGTATTTGTATCAAGACGTATGTTAAATTATTTATCCACAGGAAGAGGAAATCTCCCTCTACAAGAGTACAATAAGCGGAAACAGGGACATTTGTTTTCCTAGAATTGAGCTGTTCATTTCTGAGAAGTGTTTATTCATTGTTGATTCGTTACATCATGGTTATTTCTGTAGAAGAAAAAGCTTGAGTAAGCATTTATTGGTTTCTCAGGAAATAGAATTTAATCGCAATTGTTCGAATACGTATTGTGGAATGTACGTGTACAGTTAGTGTTGAAGATGAAAAATGTCTTCCCTAGGACCAGGGAAGGGGAAAAAGAAACGAAAAAATAAGGGACGAGGCGCTGCTGGCAGAGGACGTGGCAGAGGACAAGATTTATCCACTCCTGGAAGACAAGAAGGTGCAGGAAAGCCTGTCGGTGATGACGAAGTTGAAGGTGAAGGCGAAGAAAAGTCTGCTACAGGAGCAAGGTCCGTTCCTGAGCCTTCAAGCTCTACAAGAACTGAACATGACGAACTGCCAGAGCCAGAGATAGGGCGAGAGAGACCAAGAAAGACCGACACCAGAGCTAACGAGATAGTAGGGGAAGGCGGTCGAGTTGCTCCTGCCGAGGCCAATTCTACAGCATTTGATGAGCAACAAGAGCCAGGCTGTTCTGCTCCTAGGGCCAAGACCAAATTAAAAGGAAAACAACAACAAGTTCCTGGTCCGAGCAAGTTATCTACGTCATCTCCTTCCTCTGGCACCAACGTTAAGGGTAAGCTTTAAATGAAGATGAATCTGTTTACAGTGGGTTTAAATTTACAGTTCGAAGATTGATGAGCATATTTGTATTGTTCTGGCAGTAAGATTTCATACATACCTCTCGAACCAAGTGAGGATTTCTTGATTTGGCATGGGCAGAAATTTGATTCGGTTTACATTTGGCTTTTTGAAGCTTTATCAGTCCTATTATCTGGGCTAAAAATACCAGCCTGGTTAATTACTTAATCTCAAACCGAGCTGGGCTGAAAGTGGCTGAAGCTAGGCATGGGCTGAAATCTTCTCCAGGTAATCCCTAATTTGATTTCAAGAGGATTTGTTACAGAAGCTGGGCTGATTAATTTCAGCTCCTACCAAACCTGTTGTAATTTCAGCCGGGCTGATAATTGTCATGTAATCACCCCCTTAGGCATGGGTCCCATGTTTGGAGGTGAAAATCTTCTATCTCACAGCTACTCATAGCCTTTTGTACAGAAGCTCTTTGGGCTTGTGATGCAATCTTCCTTCTCAATGAACTTCTGGTGAAACAAACAGCACATTTCTTTCCACTTGTTCATGAACAATAGTAATAGTAATAGTAATTGGACCAAGTGGAGTACAAATCAGGAAGTAATCGCTTGATTAATTTCAAAATCAGATAAGCGTGGAGTGCGAGCCTGATTTGAAATTATGAGCACGATTACTCCCTGAATTGTACAACATGAATTCCAATTACTAATTAACCATATTTATAAAAGATTTTGGAATTACAAATGTCTTTTGATAACTTCTTTCGAACGAAAATGTCTGTGGTGCTTTTCATAAGTTTTGAAAACTGTAGGAAACAGTACAAAGGAAGCCATCAAAGTGCATGCAATTATCCAATTACAGGTATCCAAGTACAAAAAGTTCAAATTGTTTAAGTGTAATTGGACACCCATGTGATCGTGTGTCGATTACGTGACAGATAGGTGCGTGGAGAACCAATCTGGATCGAGAATTTTGTTATAGATACGATTAATAAAGAAACTGTTTTAATGGCGTCTGAACAAGTGAATGTTGTTGGTAATATTGAAGGTAAATTGGACAGGATTTGCCACCCAGGTTCTTATTTCCATAGTAATTAACACACAAAACAATTGAAATTTTTATTCGTTCACTAGTTTAGTCTAAAACTAGTTGCAAAATTGGGACTGAAGAGGAGGAAGTTTTAGTGGCTTAAAATGTAGTCACAAATGCATGTGATCGTGTGGGTCACATTTTCAAGTCCTGCATGTAGACTGAGTTGGTAAACTTCTGGAAAGATGTAAAAGTGTAAAATCCCTTTCATTGGAAGTCCTAGGGAGTCAAACTAGAATTCCAGATGGTTGAAGTAAAAAAACAGAAATCTGGAAGGGAGGGGGGTGTTAATGGTTTTGAAATTCAGAGGGCATCAGGGGGGGAAAAGCATTTTTGAATTTGCTAAGGCAAGGGGGAGAGGGGTGGGTTAAAATGTTCATGCTGCCTGTGGTAGGGTATGGATTGGATATTTTCTAGAATCACCCATTGAACAGTAAATTATGCTTTCAAGTAAGTATGTCCAAAATCTGCAATTTTTCAAATCCAGTCCAAGTTCAGTGAAAGACCATGCTCCTATCCGTTGAAGTCTTTTGCCAAATTTCTCTGGTGCCAAAGTCCCCTGCCTTGATGGGGAAGTGCGCTGTGATTCGGCCACATGCACATCCCTGTATTTCAGCAGACATTCACGGGTGAGGAAGGCTGCATCTGTGTTGGAGGTTAAGCTACCTATACCTATGAATCAACTTTTTTATGCCTATCTGTAATTTTTGGGCAGCTGCATCTTGGCAAATAAAGGTCACAATTTGCTTGCAAGAAAGAAAACATATTTGGGTGTTGTAGATTATCTCTTCAAGTCTCATTATATAATTCCTTAAACATGTATTCCCTAAGGATGTTTGTGCTAATTGTTTCTGGGCATCCTTACTGCGCACGCAAATTCACACGCCATGTCATGCATGGGAGTGCGTGCTAAGTAATAAAATGAACATTGATAGGGTAGATGGCTTTTGCTATAGCTTTGCCTGGATTTAGCAATCTTGGAGGTTCAGTGATCCCTACTTTCCTTTCCAGAAACAGATTTTATTTACAATTATCTCCACATTGTCCAAAAATGAACAAAATATCAATGTGGGAAGTTAAAAAAAAATTTGAGTGTTTCTCTCCACAGGACATCGAATCCTGCCATCTTGCGGCTGCAAGGCACGAGAAACTATGGTTGCTAAAATAATGTGAACTTGTCTTTAAGAAACCTCACCAGTTGACTAAATTCACTTAATAGGTCCACTTAAACAATATTTGGCAGAGAACATTTCTTTTCAATGATCTAATTGCAATATTTTTGGGCTTACAGACACTGTGGCCCCATTCGCTAACGAAGCCTGGTTTTTTCAGATTTAGGGTGTTCTTCCCGGCATGTTCTCTTCAAAACAAAGTCCGTGACTCACCATTTTTTACATTTCTGACATAACTAACTCATCATCTTACAGTGGTAAAAGTCTCGAAAAAATCAACGTTGGAAAAGTAAAAGAAAGTAGTGCGAAAAAAAGCTCTGTTTGAAGAGGGTTTAACTTGATAATTTACTGAGATTTTGCAAGGAAGAATTATGTACATAGTACAAGAACATGCATATGACTACCGTGTTACAAAATAAAACATAACAGGAATTGTACATTGGAGTGCAACAGGATGTACACACTTTGAATCTATCAATCAATTGTAATCCTCTGCAGAACCTCAAAGTGTGGCAGCTGCCAACACCACTGCCTCTACTGTGTCTTCTACTGTGACTGCTGCTGCTGCTGCTGCCGAGGCAGCTAGTGTACCGGCTAGTTCTTCTGCTGCTGTTAAGACAGCTGGTGTCCCAACCACCACTGCTGATGGTAAACAAGATGTAGAAAAATTAGCAACAGAGCTTGCCTCAAGCTTGACTGCAAAAGGTAAATTTAATGGTTTGATTCTGAATATTGACTGTCAGCATTTGTAAAAGTTGTTGTAATTTTTTCGCAGATAGTGGCTAAAATGTACATTGTAGCCTTGGAAAGACAATCAGGAAAGGGATGAAACTATTTATATACATGTGCACTTTGCTATTACCCGTAGCCAACATTAACACACACAGAGCAAGACTGCACCTACAGTATACATGTAGCTCGAAGCTTTTTTACTGCACATGCACCAAGTTTGTCATACACAGGCACTGTACAGCATTAAGGGCCCATTAACCAATTTATG